TATAGAAAACATTTCCATCACTTCCACAGAGCTCCTTTCGCTCCTTCCCAGTCTCTCCAATTACCATGCCTAGGGGTCACTGCTTTTTCGAATATTTTTTCACACATTTCCTGTTCTAGCACACAGTTGGTGGGGCTTCAGAGAGGATCTGCACTTATGTATTTAATTATTTATTGAAACAGGGCCTCATACTGTACCAGGCACTGTCTGTCTTTAAGTATCATACCGTTTTGCATTCCCATGAGTGAGTGATCTTTGAGCTTTCCGATTGTTCAGTGTATTCATCAACAGTTGTCATTGTCAGCATTTTTAATTTTACCCATTCTATTTGGTGTAGGGACATCTCCTAATTTTATTTGCATTTCCCCGATGAATAATGGTGATGAACACTTTCTCGTGTGTTTCTTGGCTAGTCACATGGCTTACTTCCTGAAGCATCTGTTCAGTGCTGTTGCGAACTTTTTAAATTCAGTTGTTTTCTCATTGAGTAAGACAGTCTTTGTAAATGGAGCCCAGTGACCACAGGGCGAATTCTCCAAAGCCACGAGCCAAAAATCAACATTTCCTCCTTAAAGTTGATTTTCTCAGAAGTCTTGGTCGCCAAGTATACCCAGAAAGCTGATGAACACACTGCTAATAAAACTACAGATTTTATTGTGATTTCATCAGATTCTCCACAATATCCTTTTTTCTGTTCCAGCCCTCATGCCACCTTGAAACTGAACCTCTCTTTGGTCATATTTCTCTGCTGTTAATGTTCTAGGTTGACTCATTCGACCCTGAAGTCTTAGTTGGTTTCAGGAGAGAGACTTCCCGTCTCTTCCTTCTCCCAGCCTGTGTCCACACATGCCTCCATCTAAGAAAAAAAATAACTGCCAGGCTGGGGATTTAGCTCAGTGGTTCTGCCACCTGCCTCTCAAGTTTGATCCCCTGTACCAAAAGAAAAAAAAAAGGAAGAAAAGAAAGAAAGGACTGCTTTGCCAATTGCCTTTTCTAAGTCATGCATGCATGTAACTTACTTCCCATTGAAGACTATGAGTTGGAAAACCTTGATTTTAATTTGGATTCAGTCACTGACCGGCTGGGTAAATTTAAAGAAGCCATTCAACTCCTTGGAGAATACGTTTGTGTATGTAATGTATGTGTATGTGGTGTGTGTGTGTGTGTATGCATGTGTGTGTGTGTACACACACACACATGCATGCACACACTAGGGTGCGGTGATGATAGCTGGAGGTTAGGGAAAGTTTTTCATTAGAGAGTTGCCAAAAGGGGAAGACCAGTTGCTGGAGAACCTGAATAATTTAAGGCAAGAAATATAAGTTATGTATCTGCACCAAGTTTGCACAAAGAGAAAGGAGAGATAGAAGGGCAGATGGAAAAGACAGAGGGTGAGTGATGGGAAAAGAAAAATGGTGAGACAGAGGGAAAGGCCACACTTGCTGGCCAGTAAAGGAGACAGTCTCACAAGAGCCGACTAAGACAAGGCCCTGTGGTAAGTCGTGAACCCAGCTGTTCCCATTTAAATGTCCCACGTGCCTGGGAGGCACATTACTCCCGCTCATGCTCACAGAGGAGTGGGACCAGCTGCAGAGAGGTCAGATGACTTGACTACACTCACACTGCCAGAACAAGTGCGGTCAGGATTTGAGAGGGGCAATTTGACTGGACAATCCCTGGTCTTACCCCCTGCACGCTCAGGGTTGGACCAGCATGTGTACAGCAATGTATACAGGTGTGTGCATGGCATGTGTGTGTTGGGGGGTCCTTTTGATATTGTGATGTAAAAAGAAATAAATACGTGGTCTCTGTCCTCATTCCTGGCACAGAGCTCAAAAAGTCCTGAGTGACTGGGTAGAAAGAGCTTCTTTCTTATTCACAGCAAGCCCCTTTCATAGCTCAGCTCACACTAAGGAGGTGATTCTTGAAGAATGAGGCTGGCTGTCAGAAGAACTAACCTGGAATTAGAGGACTGGAACTCTCAGTCCTACCCGCCCCCTTCCAGGGAGAGGAGGCAGTGGGGATTTGAGTCTAGTCTCATGGCTAATGATTTATCCTGGGTGCCTTGTAATGGGTTCTCTGTAAAGCTCCTAAAGCACGGAGTTCTGAGAATTTATGTTTTCTGAACGCATCAAATGTCCTAAGAGGGAAATGCACCTGAAGAGGGCCTGGAATCTCCCTGCTCTTTCTCAATACCTTGCCCTGTGCGTCTTGAAACAGGGAAACCCTAACTAAATCCTCTAGCTTCACTTGTTTTCATAACCAGTTCTATAGACCACAGAGCTAAGCAGGACACATAACACCCCGGATAGGTAGGTTATTATGGCAAGTCACCCATACTCTTCCGGAACTTGGAGGCTGCTTTTGCCTGCCTCACACCCATTGAAACAACTGACCCTCCATTTGGGCCAGTGAAGGCATCCATGGCTGACCTTTTCACAGAAGAAGGCAGAAACGTTCACACTCAGAGCCGATGAACAGCAGATTTTCGGAAGGCCTTCTTATGAGGACGCATGCGTACAACGCAGACTACGCATGCGCAGACCACAGTGCGTGCCATTCGCCTGCCAATCACCTTTCCTTCATGCCCCGCCTCACCTTGCTTTTTTATCCCTTACACACCCATGAACGCCTCCTCGGGGAGATATATTTGACTGGAGCCCCTGTCTCTTTGCACTTCGCCCTGTGGTGAATAAACTGGTTGACTTCTGCAAAGGTCGTGATTTCAATGATTGACGGCCGGTGCAGCAGGCAAGACAGGCTGGCTTGTTAACAGTGGCTTCCATTTGGTTCATCATGAGTGGACTCCTTTTCTGACAAACAGGTAATCTAGTAAGTAAACTGCTTTCATGATTTCTATGAGCCAGTGTAGCAAATGACCAAACCAGGAGAAGGAGTTGTGGGAGCCTCTACTGTGTAGAAGATGGATCAGATGATGACAGTGGGCTTTGTGATTGGTGCGTGTAGGTGTGTGTGTGTGTGTGTGTGTGTGTGTGTGTGTGTGTGTGTGTGTGTGTTTAGAGTATTGAGAG